CCTGGATCCTAAACCCTATAAACAAATGAAACTCAGTCACACTGAAGGAAATTTGAGCAAGGAGTCTAGAACAAGTTCTGCCTCTCAGGCTGAAAGATAATGTATATACAACCTAGCCAGCCATCAGACCAGCCACAAATTTGTTTTAACAATTCAACAACATCACTATTCCTCATTCACCCACTTAGCTTAATTTTCCTAGCATCACTTTCACTGCTGAGGTTGTCTCTATTAAGCCATTTTTTTTGCATCATTAACTTTTAACCAGGCATCGATAGCTTTATTGTTTAAATTGCGTATGACTTTATTTAACGTCAGCATTTCTTCTAGCTCCTGACAAGAAGTCACATTTTATAACTAATTAAATTGATCCCTGGGAAGCAAAAGCCACTAAACGAAATTATTCGTACCCAAGTGTCAATATATTAAATCAAAGGGCTAATGAGTTGGGTCACTGCTTCTTTTATTGGGAGGCTACAGCAGAATAAGACTCATATTATCCTCTATTTTCTGCCTTAACAATCAATTTTATTTAAACCAAAAGCAGCTAATTAATACTTTTGGATCTTACAGTAAATAATACCTCTTTTATAACATATAAATGGGGAATGGAAAATTTTCCTTGACATATGCAATATATTTTTCATATTTTTAAATGACATTGGGTCACAGAAACATCTAAGATGATCTAAAAGGTGTTTTGCAAGCAAATGATTTTGAGAAGTTCTAGATTTCAATTATTAGCATTATGGGTATAAATCAGGGTGAAAATTTGCCTCTTGGAGCTGACAATAGTGCCTAACGAAAGTGATTAAGAAGTGACTAAATTTGCCATGTCAGCTTTTCCTATCGTTCTTGCAGCTGCTGAGTAATACTTTGAATAATGCCACTATTTACATTTGGACACTACTTTTAAAATTCATCACCTAACAGTTCATACCATTCCCTGTCTTTGACATAACTTAGCTTCTTTTGACACAATCCCTACAGACACCATTTTTCTGTTGCTATTAATTTCATCACCCCAATTTATTCAGAGAAAATTTAATGTCAAATTATTTGTTCCTGTAAATTTTACATTTTATTTGAAAGAATTTTACCCCATAATTTATTATTTTAGTATTTGTGAAGGAAAAAAACCCATAAAATCAGGTATGGAATCTCTTACATCTTCAAAAATATAAACAATATGGTCTATAAATCATGACTACAGTAAAATTACATTTAAAAACTATGGCAGGCTGAAAAATTCAGTCCTATAAAATTAGGTCTAGTGGCAGTTATCTTCTGACAGTGAAGAAACTACCTTTGGAAACACTGTACTAAAGTAGAAATTAAAATGAAGGTACAAAGAACACATACATAACCAACTGCAACTGCTAAATTACAAATTCAGGCAATACCTTAATTTTGGTATGAAAATTTTATTTTCTTTATCTGGCAATTAGTCAAAATAACAACAGTTTAAAGATAGCTCTGAAATACTTTGGGTTGAATTAATATTATTTATGACATAATAAGTTGTCAAAAGTCAATTTTGTCTCTAATACTTAACTTTGTTGATTTACCACCAGGATCAAATACATCATAGGGAACACCACAGATGTTTTCGACAAAAACATGTTCTTTCACCCACACAGTTTGCTTTTTCAAACATCGAATTAGGGTTTCTTTCTTTGTAGACACAGTGGTTCTTTTTTAAAGCAACCTTAAATAGCCACTTTTATCCATTTATAGATGTGTATGCTTTGGAGGTCAAGCATGTGCTGTTGTTTCTTACCACAAATGTTTTCCTTCATTTTTAATGGTCAAAAGTCACAGGCGTGTTTGACCCCACCCACAGACACTCTGTTCAGTATCTGGAGAACCCAAAGTTGGCTGCAGATCACTGAAACCAGATGCCTACTTCACAAACAAATATAAAGGTATCCCAACACAGACCAGTGGAATTTGACACTGGACTATCAATAAGTTACAAAACAAAACAAAATAAAAATTACTGTTTTCTCTGGAATTTATGTATAATTAAAAGCCAGAAAACACCCTTTACCATTAATACAGACTACTGATCTGAACTACCATGCTAAGATGGTCTTGATAAACACATTATTTTGTTATGTAATAGTGTTTGAATTAACTAACAGTTATTATATTTCCCCCTACTTCTTAGCTTCATGTTTTTAGATACACACACGCGCGTGCATGCACGCGCACACACAGAGACTCACATGCATTCTCAAAACAAAGATATCAGAAATTATATATCAGAATTACTTTTTTTTTTTTTTGAGATAGAGTGAGACTGAAGAGCAGTGGCATGATCTTGACACACTGCAACCTCTGCCTCCCAGGTTCAAGCAATTCTCATGCCTCAGCCTTCTGAGTAGCTGGGATTATAGGCGTGTGCCACCACACCCTGCTAATTTTTTGTATTTTTTAGTACAGACAGGGTTTACCACGTTGGCCAGGTTGGTCTCAAACTCCTGACCTCAAGTGATCCACCTCTGCTTTGGCATTCCAAAGTGGGGGGATGACAGGCATGAGCCACTGCACCTGGCCTAGAGTTACTTTTTTTAAGGGGGAAAAAAAGTCACAGCCATGGGAAAGGGAAAAATTTTGTCAACTAATAGTTGCTCCAATTTTGTTTGGCAATAGATCATCCTACGAAGCAGTAATGCACAGGGATATATAGAGTAAGTTTTACTAAGCCTATCAAAAAAGGGTTAACTACCTCAAATAGGACTGGTTAGGTAAATAAATAAAAAATCTCTTCCAGTTACCTACGAAAATACAATAAAAACCCATTCTACTCCCCACTAAGCACAATATGAGCAACTGAACACATAAGGCTGAAACCCACTGGGGTCCAACAGAACTCAACCTATCTTTTTGTGTCTCAGGTTACAATCGGCAAATATGACCACTGAACTGATCTCCCTGCCCAAAAACATGCTTACAACTTCCAGTTTCCACTTCTGCCAAAATGACCACAGCACTGAATAGACTAGTGAGACAGACATGTGATCCCAAACTCAAGTTTTCCAGGTTACAGGCTATTGATAAAATATTGAGGAAAATCTAAACATTTTTTCAAAAGCCAAAAATACAAAATTCCAAATTGAGATATAATGAAGTTTAACTTCTCTGCAGAGTACCACATAATTTCATTAATTAATCCTAAACCAAGTATATTCTAAGTTCTACTTTTCTGAAAACAAAGTGTGGCATACTACCTAAGGCTTTGGGTAATAATGCCCAATAATAAAAAGGAATATAAAAGTGAAGTAAGATTGCAATTTATTCCTCCCAGCTCCGAACGTATTCCTATCTTCATTACAGTGGCTGGACACCACCAAACACTTTATTATCCCTGTGCAGTATTCTTTTTACCATCCTAAGACTCCTCATTTTAAATTGTATGGAACCTACAGAAATCAGCTATTGATGCTTCTTTCTGCTCTACTGTGCTCTCATTTTGCCTTTTAAGTGACTCCTTTTCAACCCTCAGCTAGATCTTTCCTAATCACTTATATCTGAATTAAATTAAGTACAGTGGTCTTCTGAATCTTTCAACCAGTCTAACTGATTATTTAAAGCCATTTAATGTTTACCTATGAAAAATATGCAATTTTTTGTCTTTACCTAAAGACAAAATAAGAATTATAGTAATATACACATCATTTTTTCATGTTTCTATTTCCCCAAGTATAACTTTGTACAAACGGCCACAGACTAGCACATAGGCATCTATCTACCTTGATAAATTTTCACCTACCTTGAGTTTGCAACCAGGCATTTCCTGGGCAACCAGTCTTTCAGGGAGCGTTCAAATATTTGTAGTGGGGCAGTTTGGGCTGCACATACTTTAGTTCTTATTCATACATTCCTCATTTACAAGTTGTGAACCTGGTAAATTTCCGGTTTTAAGACTATCACTGTTTCTTTTCTGTAGGTGGTCCTTGAATTACCCTCTTTGCTTAACTGTGGAGTGTGGGTCAGGCTGACTGTTAGAAAAAAAAAAAAAGCTTTATTTTTCTTTTGAAATTATTTCCCAGGCCATTCTGTTTCTATATTCAAATTCCCAACTTGGCAAATGAATCCGAAAGATACATATGCTCTGAAAGATATATCACATCGTGTTTAGGATCCAGGGCTCTAGATTCTCATAGAAAGAGTCAGTAGAGTGTAGCGGTTAAGAGCACAAATCCTAGAGCCAGACTAAGTTTGAATCCCAAGTCTTCCACTTATTAACTGTATGACCCTGGTCAAATCATTTAACCTCTCCATGCTTCACTTTTGTGATTTATAAATGGGAAAAATATTACCTATCTCATAGGGCTATTATAAGTATTCAATGGACTGGGGTATCTAGAGCCTTAGAATAGTGTCTAACATACAGTAAACACTATGTAAGTGTTTGCTGCTGTTAATTAGATTAGAATCTTGGCTAGGCTACTTATTGTGATGTCTTAAACAAGTTGTTTAACCTCTCTTAAGCCTCCAGTTTCTCAACGTCAAACAGAATAACTGTGTCAATTGAGCAATACAACATAAGATCTTCATTACAGTACCTAGTACATAGTGAAACATTAGCTATTATGTTAACACATACTTAGTGGCAGTCTAGTGTATCTATCTTCCTTTTCCACAACATGCTTCTATTACAGGTGAACTAGTTCCAAAATCTCTATAGCTTTCCCACTCCATCAAATGCACAGTCTTTATTCTAACCAGTTTCCGAATTAATTTCCCTATTCGCTAATAAAACCTCCTCCACCACAGAAGGACATATTTTCGTAGGCTACACACTCCAAGCTCGTTTTCACATCTTCACTTTAATATTCACTCTCATGTTGCCCTTCCCTTCTCCCTGAATATCCAAATCCAGTCTTTAAGACCAAAGACCAGTCTTTAAGGCCAAAGTTTAAGACCAGTCTTTAAGACCAAAGTTTCAGAAAATTCTGTAACATTCTTCCAATCTAGTATGTTTTTTGTTTCTCTGAGTTCTGTTGTGTAAAGAAGACAGTTCCAAAGATTTGGATTCAAATCCTATCTCTGTCACTATGAAACTGTGTGACCTAGAGCATGTCACTTTGCCCCCTAGTCACAGTTCCCTCAAATATAGAATGATTGGGTTTAAATAGATGATTTCTAAAAGCCCTATCATTACATCATTCTGAGACCTATTGCACTCATATTCACAGTGCAATGCTTATTATAGATGCTTAATAAATATCTTGTGCTTAAACCTTCCAGAGCAGAACATATATGGAGCTGTCTATGGGTCCTTTTCTCACTGCCTTTCCTTCTCAATCTCTATCACATGTTCCCATTCTTCTATTATCCCACCCTTTAAATGTTAGCATTTCCAAATATTGTACTCTCTACCCTCTTGTCACTCTCTATATTTCTAGGTAAACTCCTTACTATCCATCTGATAATGATCCCTAAATCTATATTTCTAACTCAGATCCCATTTCCAAGTTTCACACCTATGTGACCAACATCTAATAGACATATCTACCTGGAAAATGCAGCATGTCAAAAATAAAACCCTTCATCTCACCCAGACCTTCAAACCTGATCATCATCCTGTACTTACATGATCTGTCCCCCAATACCTCTCTGATCTCACCACATACCACTTTTCCCCTTGCTCTGTCTACTCCATCTTTACCGGCCTCTTGGTTGCCCCTAAAACATGTCACAAGCACACTTCCACTTCACATACTTTGCAATTATGTTCTTTCTCCCTGGAATACTTTTTTAACCCTAATATCCATGTCTCCTGCATTCAATTTATTCCAATAATTTCCTCAAAAGGAGGCCTCTCTGAGTTCTATAAATGTGTAACACTCATCACTGTATATTCTTATTTATCCTTAACCTATTTTTCTTCATAGAATTTATCACTACACGATATTATCTATTTGTTTACAGTCTCTATCTTCCCAAAGTTTGTCCATTTTGTTCCTTAGTGTATTATCACTGCCCAGCACATAGTATGTGCCTGATAAATATTTGTGAGATTAAATACCTACCCTGTTGAACAGAGGTGTCAACTCTGTCCACCAATGCAGAAATGTGGGAGTTTGCTTAAATTTCTTCTTCCCTACATCCAATTAATCATGAATTCTATAGATTAATTTCCTCAACATCATGCAAATCCATCTCCTCATCTCTATTCCTACTTCTACTGCCTTAGCCCAGATCTGTCATTTCTTCCCTTTTGGATTACAATAGTAAATGTTCTCTTTGACTCTACTTTTAGTCTCCCCAAAACTATTCTCCACATTCTTGTCCGAGTGATCTTTCTGAAAGGCAAATGTCATCCCATTCTGTTGCTTATATGCTTTAAACTATTGCCCTTAATTTGTCATACAAGGTCCTATCTGGTGCATAGCTATACTCTAGCTTCATTTTGCTTCACTTGTGCACTTCATTCCAGCCTTAATGAGGAATGAATTTATATGTAGTTCCCTAACATGTGATGTTCTTCATCTCGATGAATTTTTGTTTAGACTCTTCTTTCTGCCTGGACACCTCTCATCCTGGTTCACATTCCTTCTCCTACTTCAAAATTCAGATTCATATCAAATGTCACTTCTTTGAGCAAGCCTTCCTCACTCCATCAGTTGGGATTAAATGTTCTTCCTCTGCACTTCCATGGCAGTCAGTGAATATATCTACCATAACAGAACATTATATTGCTGTCATTTACTAGACTCTGAGCTTCCACAGATAAGTAACTTGTCTTTCTTCTTTTATTCTTGGTTTCAGCATAGTACCCAAAAAGTAGTAGAAATTTAATAAGTAAAATGTATTCAATTTAAAAATTGAGTTAATCTCCATCCTGAAATTAAACACATCTCTTCATTCTTGGATACTTTCAATGCATCTAGTCACTATACCACTATCTCTTCTCAAATCCCCCCTTAGTTCCTTCCAATTTCTCTACCTTCTCAAAGCTAGTAGTTCCAAAAGCCATCATACTTTTTTGTGCATGTATTATGTTCTTGTGGCTTTCACAGAGTATGACTCCAAGATACGACTTATTCTCTTTTGTTCAAAATGAAACTGATGCCAAAATGCAACAAAGAAACAACAATTAGTAAATCTCATTAACAGATTTATTTTCCCACATCTCCCAAATGTCACCTTATCTTTATCTCAGTTGCAATTTATGTATAAATAATCACATGATAAATTTCCTATTCCTTCATATTATCGGTAATATGAATGATGACTAAATGTGTATGAATGTGTATGGAGAGGAAGCACCCAGGAAAAATGAAGAAACTATATGCAAGGCTTCCAGGAATAACGAAAGAGTTCCTCTTATCTGCTTGTGGCTTTCCTGGGTTGCTCTTTTAGGAATTCAGAAAAAAGACCTTGGTGAACATAATATGGAAATTGATGTAAAATTTTGTTCTATGTGAACTGGTTCATTATTAAGACTATGCACTTTTTCAATTTATATTTGCCAAAGTATTTCTCTACACACTAACTCTGATAATTCTTGCATTAGTCCTATGAGCTTGAAGTTACAGGTATGTGTGTGTCTGTGTATCTGTGTGTTTTGTTATCTTTTTACAGAAAAGTCTCACAAAGGTTAAATGATTCATACAAAATCACATGCCAAATACATGGCAGAGCCAGACTTTGAAACTATTATTTTTGTATTTTCCATCTACTTTCTTTGCAGGAGAAAGATAATGTACATACTCCCAATAAGCTCACTTTATACCTAAATCATATCTACCAATGATGCCACAGAAATAAACATTTTTAAGATAATACTTTCATCAAACTGTTTATTAGTGTTTCTGCTGTTAGTCAAAATTATCTAATATTAATTCCTTATCCAAAATCACTGAGTGTTCCTAGCTGTGACTAAGTCTTGTTCTCCTATCCCCTACTCTAATTCAGACACAAATTCATACTAGCATGAGAATGCTAAAGTTCAGTTCATTTGCAAATTCAAGACTTTAGGATAAATATTACTGTTGCTTATATTTCTTATCTTTTCTACCTACCTTATTTCTCAACATTTTCACACAACTTTCCAAAACTGTTATGTAAAAAAAATTGGAGTTTAGTTTCAAAAAATACTTTGTTTCCTCCTTTTAATTTTTTTATTTGGCCTTATAGCATCAGTAGGTAATTTGATAGAGAAATATTAGGTGATGTGAACTTGTGAACTAATAATAAAAATAAGGTAAAAAGACTTTTATGCAGTATTCTGAGTAATATAAAATCTAAAATGTATACCTACAGATTTTAGTAACCTAATAACTATGCACACAATTTTGGAATCTTTTAAATTTTTGACCAGGGGAATTTTGGGTTAAATTTAAAATGTAATAAAGTTTGTAACATATACATTTACTATTAAAATAGTCTCCATTCTATTGGCATTTATTGGCTTGCAGAACAATCAGACTTTTGATAAGTCTGTTTCTACCTATAAAAATCTACTTAATGTGACAGAATATTAGGTAAGTGAAACTTCATTATTACCAAATGTATGTAAACGGGCAGAATTTGAGGGACAAGCATTAAAACATGGAGAAAATTTCTAAAGCAGATTTTTTCATAACAGTTCTGCCATAGACAAAGTCATGGGGTGGGAAACTCCGAAAGGGTGCTAACATACCAGAAATGCAGGCCTCAGTGGTATTGGCAAGACCTGATAAAATTGCCTTAGTATAATACTAACATATTACGTTAATGTAATGTACAAGGCTGCTGAAGATTGGGTTCCCTAAAAGCAGACAGTGAGACTAGGTTTAAGGTACAAGACATTTAGTAGGGAATAACACTTGTAAACAGGAAAGAGAAGAAAACAAGATTGGGCAGAGGAAGAAGTTGAACTACAGTATTGGCTTAAGAACACTTCATCCAACTCAGCAGGAAGCCCTGGAGTAAGTGTCTAATTTCAAACATGAAAGGCCCAAACTTCACATTCATGTCCTTCACTCAAATGGGAGAACCCGGGAAGGATATGGCCTGGAGTTAAGCAGCTCTCTGCAGTTCAGGCAAACTACAGGAGCTGACAGATGGAAGCTATATGTTTTACAGTATTCCTGTGGCTGGGCAGCAAGTGTATCCTTGAAGATGTGTCAGGATAACACATGCCCATATCTACCATAATGACTTATCGTAAATACCAGTTTGTGGCATTATACTAAATGTGGTAAAATTACTTTACAGGGGTGGAAGCTAATGTGGTTTTTAACATAAAGGTAAAAAAATAATAATAATCCTTTATATTAAAGCAGAGTAGTCTACCAGCCTATCAAAGAACACAGAAAATACACTGTTTGAAAGAAATTCTGGATTGAGGATAAAAATTAATTTTAGAATCTTTCATTTTCTTAAACTAGAGTCTGTTCAGGCTTCTAAATTTTTCTTCCTTTCTGAAGTCTACAAAAGTAGCACAATGAGCCCAGGGGGCTAACTATTTCTGACCATGAATTATTTTAAAATATTTCTAAGTTACTAAAGAATTTTTTGGAACTGAGTTCTTTTTAAAATTCTTCAATTAATTCCAAATTCTCGACAAAATTACAAGTTTTAAACTCTTGATCCAAAACCAATGATACTAGTTAATTAAATAACATGCAGCCTCTTTAGAACAATAATCAATGATTCAAAGATTTGATTGCTTTTTAATGTTTCTGTACTTTAGCATACCCAGTTGCATAATGGTAAACCAGCTTTCAAAAAAAAAAAAAAAAAGGTGATATGGAGCATTTGCCAGTTTCCATTATGTAAATGGTTGACTTCAATCCAACATGGTTGATTTCAACCTTTCAACATGATGTCACTGGACAAGAAGTTAGGAAAAGATACACACAATTTGTTCTTGTGAGCCAGTGTGAGTTGGCTCCAGCACAACACTAGTATAACTATTTCTTTATTTTCTCTTTATTCTTGGATTGTGTGAGGACTATAACACTTAATATTTGACAATAAATCTGACGATATATGTGTATGTGTTTGTGTGTGTGTGTGTGTGTGTGTGTGTGTGTATAGTCTCATATATAAGAATTATTTCAGTAGCTAATAGGCTACTAATATTAGTTGTTCCCCCAATCCAAATATTATATCAAGTTTATTTAAAGTAATAATGGGAACTAAATTACAACAACAAAAATAACATCCAGTGCACATTATGAAAAGGACACAAAGAGTGAGATTCTGAAGAGACAAAGCAAGACAAAGGCAAAATAAAATATTGACATCCTTTATTAGCACCACAAAACTCCTGCTAAGACAAGAAGCTGCTCCTCATAAGTCAAGTCGGAGCTCTATCACGTAACACTCATGGTGTTAAGACTTCTCATTTTTCTTTTTTCTTCTGTCCTTTGACATACCTCAAACCTGGCACTTGGTAGTACATACTGAAAAAGTGAATTGCAGATATTTTCTTGTTCTCACTTGACCTTGCCTTAGTGTGTTTTTCTGCCATTCACTGTTCCAACATACAGTACTAGCGCCTGGCCAGGGGCTAAAGTTAAGGATATTTTATCTGACTCTGGTTGCTTATGGTCCTCACCCTCTTATCCCTTCCTGGAATTATGAAAGTAAATTAATAGATTCTTCTGTTTCTTCCTTGTCCTAAATCTAATGCAAGGATTCTGTGCAATTATAAGTAAGAGCTTTCAAGTCTTTCAATTTTTACATACAACTGTAATAATTGTTCTTTGCTTGGAAAAATCATAACTTTAAGTTTATAATGACGGATAGCATCATGTAAGGTGCCAGCTCCCCATTTACCTTCCATCATCATTGTATAAGCTTCTTGAGGCTTCATCAAAAGCCAAGCAGATGCCCAGTGCCTTGCTTTCCATACACACCATAAGCCTTTTCTTTATAAATTACTCAGTCTTGAGTATTTCTTTATATCCATGCAAGAATAGCCCAATATACCCCTTAAACAAATGATGGTCCATCTCTAACAGCTCTGGTTTTCTTAAATGTAAAATGAGTAGTTTGAACTGGGTCAGTGTTTTCCACACTTTGTGGTTGTGACCAATTGAAGGACAGAGTTGGCTTTTTAAAAATAGAATAGAATAGGAAAAATTTAAAAAGGGAAATGAAAAGAAGGAGAAAAAGGAAAGAGTATAAGGGTAGAACAAGATTAAAGAAAGAAGAGAAAAAAGAGAATAGAGTGAATAAAGATGAGAGAGAAAAGATAAGAAAGAATGAAAAAGAGTGGAAAAATAGTGTGAAAAAAGGAGAAGAAAAATAAAAGGCTCAGGTGAGAGCATGAAAAAAGAGGAGATAAGAGAAAACAAAAAAAATAGAAAAAAGATCTCATATAGAGAACATTACATGTTGTAAGGCAAGTCTCATTTAATGAATTTCTGTTCTGTCACATACATGTGTATGTATGTGCTATATGCATGTATTGGGTTGTGATGTGAAACGAACTTCTTACTGTGTGTTGGTCTGAAAAAAGTTGAAAGTCAGTGATCTAAGTTCTCAAGGTCACTTTCAGCCAAAATAGTTTAAGATCTTAAAGATTTTTATTACGCCTTTTATAAATGAAATTATTTAATTAAAGGGATAAATAAATGATATTTATAGAAAACAAACATGTGGAAAGGATCACAACTACTGACAGAATGTATAACCCTAACTTTTCAGAAGGTTAGGTAGCATTCATCAAAGAATGGTCTAAATCAGGCTTTCTCAGCCAATATCTCAGAAAAAAAAAAATTTGGAGGGGAAGAAAACTAACTCTTCCCACACATACTTTCCAAATCAAGTTTGAGGATGGAAAGTATCTCTCCCTTAAAGTAAAAAAACAAATCTTGCCAATAAATCTTGAGTAAAGTCCTAAGTTACAGGTTAATGCATTCTTCTGAGGCCTTGACACTACATGATTTTGGCTTCTAATCCTAACCCA